TAGTGAAGAAGAAGTTGACTGCGGAGTAGAATCTAATGGTGAAGAAGACACAGTTAGAGGGTCACAAACAACAGGAACATTAAATGTACTAGGAGTGTTGACAATATTGGATGGAGACAAAGGTGAAAATTGACTTTTAAAATAAAAAGAGAACTCATCAAAGGTGACATCTGCAGACACAAAATAACGGTTAAGAGAAGGAGAAAAACATTTGTATCCTTTTTGTGATCTTGTAAACCCTAAGAAAACACATTTATGTGATCTAGGAGAAAGCTTGTCAAGACTAGAACTAAAATTATGAACAAAACATGTAGACCCGAAAACTTTTAGAGGTAAGGGATGAAGTGGTTCATGAGGGAATAAAATGGAATGAGGTATTTTATTATCTAGAACCGAAGATGGCATGCGATTAACAAGATAACATGCAGTGAGAAGAGCATCACCCCAAAAATGCTGAGGAACCTCTCCATGAATTAAAAGAGTGCGAGTTGTTTTAATAAGATGTCTATTTTTACGTTCAGCTACACCATTTTGTTGAGGTGTATAAGCACAAGAAGTTTGATGCAAAATACCATGAGAAGCCATGAATTGTTTAAAAGAATGAGAAAGATATTCATGACCATTATCACTGCGCAAAACTCTAATAGAAACACCGAACCGAGTTTGAATTTCATTGAAAAAAGTTTGAAAGATATGAAATAATTCAGAACGATTTTTCATCAAAAATAACCAAGTACATCCGGAATAATCATCAATGAAAGTAACAAAGTATTGAAAACCTAAAGTAGACTTAACGCGGCTAGGTCCCCAAATGTCGAGTGAACCACGGCAAAAGGGGACGAAGCACCACGTATGACACTACGAGGAAAGGAAGTACGACTATGCTTGCCTAATTGACACGACTCACATGCCAAACTAGACAATTTAGATAAGGCAGGGACAAGTTGCTGTAACTTGGCAAGACTTGGATGACCTAACCGAGCATGGAGAAGAGAGGGAGACTCTATAACTGCACCAACATGTGTAAAGGGACGAAGATGATAAAGACCATGAGACTCACATCCTGTGCCAATCACCTGTTTCGAACTCCGGTCCTGTAAACACACAGAATTGTTGGTAAAAGAAACAACACAATCAAGAGAACGAGTTACACGACTGATGGATAATAGGTTAAAAGGAGACCTAGGGACATAAAGAACATTATCAATGGTTAAAGAAGGGAAAAGTTTAACAGTTCCAACACCATGAGATGATACTCTAGAGCCATCAGCCAGTGTAACAAAAGGTAAAGGATCGGGAGAGGATAAAGAGGAGAACAAAGATTTGTTACCAGTAATATGATCGAGTGGCTCCCGAATCAAAAACCCAAGGACCGGAAGAAGATTGGGTCGGACCAAGCAAAAGATGTACCTGTGTGTGCGATAGACACAGTGGAACTAGAAGACTGTTGATCCTTATACCATTTGAGAAATTTGTTGAACATAGCAGGTGTGTCTGATGAAATAGAAGAAGGAGGATCCTCAGCAGATAAAGGTGGGAAAAAATCAGTCTGAGCAACTGCAGTAGATCGAGTAGGACGACCATGTAATGCATAACACTTGTCAATCTTGTGACCAAGTTTGCCACAATGTTCACACTCATGTAATGCATAACACTCGGTCAATCTTGTGACCTAGCTTGCCACAATGTTCACACTTAGGATGCCTTTTTCCCCGTTTGCGAGGGCGAGTTCGATCATCACGGTGAGATACCAATGCAGTAAGAATCATTAACGTAGCGTGTGTGTCGGGGTTGAGTTTTGTTGGTATACGCAAAAGAGTGGAGCAGTGTCGATGTCAAGGTGGGGGCAACCGGAGAACCCAAAATCTGATCACGAATATGTGAATATTGATCAGCAAGTCCGTGTAATGCCCCTAGCATGAAGAACTTTGATCGTTGTCCTATCTCGGTGGTAGGGTCGGGGGAAGGAGGCAATAACTCATTGAACTCATGAAAAAGAGCATGAATTTTGCCCATATAATCAGTCATAGAATCTTGATGTTTAGAGGCAATAACATCTACAAATTTAGAATAGACATCATAGAGACGTTGAGTATCATTGGTGTATAATAACTTGGCATGTTCCCAGATTTTGGCACATGTTTCGTAGGAACGAAAAATTTGCTTTAACGAAGGATCAAGAGTACCCTTGAGAACCACGCATAATTGAGCATCAATGGTGTCCCAACGATCTTCCTCACCAGGAGTGAGAGTAGGTGCTTTCAGGGCAAGATGATCAAGATACTTCTGACTCTTAAGCCATAATCTGACGTCTGATGACCATGTGGCATAATTAGGGCCAGTTAACTTGTCAATGGATAAGTGCACATTAACATAGTTAGTGTAGATGGAAGGATCAGACGGGACAGAATTGGAAGTACTAAAAGGAGCGGAAGAACACATAAAGGGCGGAGGCGATAGTGACAGCGGCGTGAACCAGTACACCAGGTAAGTTCCCAGGAAAGAGAGGTGGGTCACTAATGGACACGCTTAAATACCAAGTCTTTCCTTGTCAGAACTTTCCTAGACATGCACTTTCACACTACCAAATAACCGACAACGATAGCGGCGGTGGTGGCGACTTCAATAGTGGTCAAAGGCGAAAAAAAAATTCAAAATAACCTTAAGCTCTAGATACCATGTTGAATATAGAAGAAATAGAGTTTGAGATTAATCTCCCTTGTGTATAAATCACACATAGGGTAGTCTATTTATAGTAGAGAGATACAACTAAAAGAGTAACTGAAAGTAACAGAATAAACAGAAGATATTGTTTGATATTATGGTTAATATCTAACAATATCTTAACAATATTAAATATTTTTAATATTGTTAGATATTATTTAGATAAAAACTAGAATTATCTAAACAATATTGTTAGATATTGTTTAGATAAAAACTAGAATTATTTTAGTTTTTCTTCAATAAAAAACATTGACAAAATCATTATTTTTTATTATATATCGATTAATTTAGTTTTAGGGAAAAATATCTTTTATTTTAATTTCAACTAAAAACTTATAATTGTAGTTCTACTTAAAAAAATATTTTTTATTGGTAATCCTACAATTAATAAAAAAATCCCATTGGAGATTATAGATATAACCCATATAGAAATGAACTTTCAAAATAAGTTTTTTTTCTTTTTAAATATTGGTAAAAAAAACATAATTTCCTCTTAAGTCAATACCATTCTTTTTCAAGAATGAAAATAAAACTATATTATAAATACGTAGATAATGTAAAATAAAAAAGAAGCATCTGTATAATTTACTTATCTGAACCAGGTGAATCACGAGGCCTTCACGCACATTACGTGATCTCAAGGTCAATATTTACGGTTTGGAAAATAAGAGATTACAAACTTCAAATTGGATTAGACATCAAGTCTTCAAAAATATCTTTTCAAATATATCTTTTCTTATAAAATTATTTAAATTTACATGTTATTGGATTTGAATTTAAGATGATAAAATATAAATGAGATATTTAATTTTGATTTTTATCTCTTTAATAAATTTAAACTAAATTAATCTTGTTAAGGTTTAATAAATATACAAATATTTCCAACATTAATGACGTATCCGTATTCTATTCAATCCAGACACACACATATGGTTATGTGTAGCAGATTAATTTAATTTGGTGACTACATATTTATAGATTTTTCTGTACTCCATGCATAATTAAACGTATTATTATAGTTATAATTATTACTATTTAGTTTTGACGAAAATAATTCTAAAAATCATTTTTATTTTATTTTCTACTAACCATTCATATAAAAATAATCTTCCATAACAATACTGTCATGAAAAAGAGAAAGATCGCAAAATAAAAAACCCCCACAAATTTTGTGTCTAACCCAGTTTTCCACCATGTTGGCAGTTTCCACTTTTTGATCCGCAGAAACTACTAACCCTCTCCCTCCATGTATTTTTGGTCATTTTCATGCCCGTTCGTTGATATTTAGCATAAGTGGTTGGGTTTTTTTAAGGTCATCTGTAGCTATGAATAGATGTTTATGTTTTTCTTCCAAAATTATAAAATACCTTTCACTCATATTCTCTTCTCTCTTTTTATTTTATTGTATTTTTATCCTAAATTTATATACTTTAAAGAGTTTTTTTTAGTTCATGAGTTTCTCAAAAAATTTAAGAAATTCTTGTTATATTTAGTGGACTTATGCAATATACCGATAAGTCTCAAAACTTCTTATTAGTTTCTAAGTTTCTTAGAAAACTCAAGAAATTCTTGTTATATTTAGGGTATTTACACAATACACTGATAAGTCTCCAAATTTCTTGTTAGTTTATGAATTCTTCAAAAATTCAAGAAATTATTATTGTATCTAGGGAACTTACGTAATATACTGCTGATTTTTCGACTCACAAGGATACACATAAACTTTCCAAATTTTTCGACCCTTCCTGAATACAACATAAACTTCCCAAAATTTTTGACCCTTCCTGAGTACAACAGGAAACTTCTCGAATATTACAGGAAACTTCTCGAATACTAGCGAGAAATGACTTATTTGTATACAAACTCAAAAACTAGGAAGAAATGACTTATCTTTATACAAACTTAGAAATGAGCAAGACTTATTTGTATATAACATGAACTTCTCGAATTTATCAAGGAACTCATAAATTAGCACGAAAGGACTAGTTTATTTGTCTTTGGTGTATCGTGTAAGTCTCCTAATATACCACAAAAATTTTCTAAATTTTGTAGTAACTAAACAACTAACAAAAAAACGCTTAAAGAGTATATAAACCAATAAAATGGAGAGAGGAGAGAAAATGAGTGAAGCATATTTTATGATTTTGGAAGGAGAGCGTACACATTTATTTATAGGGGCAAATAGACTTAGAAAACCCAACCTCTCACACTAAACACGGACCAACAACCACAAAAATTGCCAAGATACGGAGGAAGAGGATTGTCAATTTCCGTGGATGAAGGGTGGAAACTGGCAATATACATGGAGGAAGACTCGGTACTTGTGGGTTAGGCGCAACGTTGATGGGTTTTTTTTCCCTTTTACACAAGTTTAATTGCAACAATAAAATAATTTAAAAATAAAATAAAATGAATATGCGTTGGTAATGATACCACTTTACGTAAATTTTCTATATTTCAAATAAATTAGTCTTTAAATTTAGAATCATATGAAGTCTTTTATTATATTTAATTTAAATTTAATATTTAATAACATCACTTTTGCCAATACAAAATTAAGTAAAAAGGAAATTATCAATTTAAAATATTAAGACTAAACCAAACTTTAACCAAAATAGGAATCAAAATCAAAATTTTTGTTTTTCTTTACAAATGCATTACAATTTTATGCTAAGTTTCACTCTTCTTATCTCATGACCACATCGTATCCTTTCTTCTTTTCCAAGTTCTCAATTGTCACTGTGTGTTCTCATAAGCAATTTTTAATAGTGACTATTTGATATGAGTTTCATTTACACAAGGACTAACTTAAGATCTTTAGGGTTAGAACCTTGTAGAAAATTTAGGAAATTAGTAAGAAGGTAGATTAGATAGCGGTGAAAGTTTTAGAGTTGAGAAAAATTGTAAAAACATTGATATCTCAAGTTATAAAACTCCGATTGAGATGATTAAAAAACGAGGTGAAAGTTCTAGTTCTGAATTTCAATTTAAGCTCAAAAAACACTCAATTTGGACTAGTAGAACGAAATTTATGGTCACGAAATAAATCTAGGTAGAATTGAGTTTTCTATGTTCTAGTGAAAAAATGACAAGAGGTGAATGTGAAAGGTCGAAGGAAATAATCACTCTTCCCAAGGGAGACAACTTACAAAGAATGTGAAAGTCCTTTGATACAACCAAGGGTTCTTGAATCACTCAAAAACTTAGGATAATCACTCTCACCAAGATAAAATAGCTAAACTCTAATAGTTCAATAAAACTCAACTTGTATTTTTGATAAAAATGGTTCAGCTTATATAGAAGTTTTTTCATCAGAGTTACAAAGATTCAATAAGGGAAAATAAATCCTAATAATGATGCATTAATCTAGGAATTGAAAATAACTTGATGGAGACAAATAAATGCTAATAATTATCCATTAACCTAGGAATTGAAAACTACTTAATGGCTGATTGTAATTGAAATTGTGGCAACCAAAAGTCAATCAGCTATGCACTCTCTTGGTCTCCCAAATGCTTATGCCTAAGTTTCCAATTGAGTCCTTATTACAATTTGAAACAAAATCAATTTAAATTCCATTAATTGATTAGCCCAAAACATAATTTGGTCAGCCAATTTTACAAAGGATTGAATCATTATTTAAACAAACTTAAAGAGTAAAACAAAGTGACGCATTAGTCCTCCTCCATTTTGGTCATGATGCAATTCACAACTTTGGTATTTTCTCCTTGAAATGTGAGTTTGTATTCAAATAATATGAACAACATTTATTGAAAAACTTCCTATGTTTTCTTTGCTCTAATCTTTGTCATAAGTCATCCAAGTTCTTCAAGTAGATCCTTACCCTTGCTCATGGTCATGTCCCCATCATTTTTGACATTATTATTAGAAATAGACATTTTATTATTTTTTATTTAAATTAATTATTAATTTTTTTTATTATATTTTAAAATAACAAAAAGCATATTATTATTATTATTTAGTAATTATATTATTAATATTTAATATTTTATTAAATTTTTATTATATATTCCTAGATTACATAAATAAAAGATAGAAATTTCATTATATCTTACATCTCATATATAAATAATACTTCTTGTAAATCACCATGTGAAGTAATGGAAGGGAGAAAATGGTGAAATTTATAAGAGGTGTATATTAAGATTACTAAATATATATGTATAGATTTCTCCAATTAATTATATAATATTATACATAAATATTTTCTCATTTAATCATCAATATAATAATAATAATAATAATATATATAAAATAAATATATCTAATTATTCGGTTATAAATGAGAGAATATAATATTTTTTAAATCATTGTTTTAAAAATTTAACTGGATGAATTGGTTCAATCGTCTAATAAAAATTATTATAGAAATAGGTATGTTATTTTTAAATAACCATATTTTAATTAAAACGGTAAAAAATAAAAAAAGTCATTAAAACATGGAAAATTAATTCGACTTTTGGGTCCAACTATTTTTGGTAAAAAGAAAATAAAATAATTTTTTAATATAATTTTTTTAATAAAAGATATAACATATTTTTTTTGTTTTTTTTTTATCTTATTTGTTATGTCAACTTTAAATAATAATTATTTTATTGTGTTTTCATCTTATATTAAATACTATGCATCTTATCCTCCAACATATTTTATGTTTGTAATCTTTTATAACTTATAATCACTATAATATTAATCTTTATTATTTTTTTCTTTTATAAAAAATTATTGTTACTAATTAATTTATTATATACTTGTTATATTATAAAAATATTATTTTATTAAATTTGGTTGGATCCTGATTGAACCTTTAAACCCTAAATCCATATTTTTTTTAGTTTAATGATGAGTCCAATTTTAAAAATATTGATTAAAACATTAAATGACATTAAAGTATATATAATTTACTACCTAAAATATCTTGGTAAGATACTTATGAATAAGATCACCATACTTTTTGCATATCATCTCATTCTCATTCAATACTTTTCTACTATATTTATTCTTCTTCTAGTATACTAACTTAAGCATTAGTTTCTTTGTAGGTGGACCTCCTTTTTTTCCAATATCTATTAGAGTTCAACCCAGTAGATCTCAATGCAGCATTTGTCCAAACCGTCTTGTTCGAGCTCATTCATTATTATAATTTTTTGGTAAGAGCATTTGACACCTATCATAGGGTATGATAAAACTAATCTCAAATCACACTTTTAATGATTCCAATGTGCAATCATACTAGCACATTATGCATTAACATAAATACCATTACGATTATCAACAACCTAAAATCTCACATGGAGGGGATACAACAAAAAGATGAAACAAACATTTGTGTAGACATTGCCAAATTACAAAGTAAAAATCGTGAAGAGCTAGCATGAATTGAGAGAAAAACACCAATAAGAAATAAAATCCTTTCGAAGGCACCGCAAAAAGTTGGAGAGACAACTACATGCTCTGGTAAGGTCAAGATATGCCCTGAGTCTCTTGAGGTACCAATCTCCTTTAAGGTACCAATCTCTAATCTATGAAGATGAGCCACAAAATAAACTTCAAAATAACATGAAAGTTGAATCTTATGGTAAGGTTGGGCGAGCTAATTAGAAAAATCAACATGCCTTGAGCATAAAGGAGACTTAATTCCTTAATAGTGAAGGGCAACTGAAGTTAAAGATTGGGATCCCTTTAGGAAATAGGTCATGAAACTCTTTAAAAATTTATTACACCCCCATATGGTAGATAATCAAGTCTATGACTTGTGGCAACAAGTGTCCTTTTATGAGAGAAAAAAAGTTGTTCAAACTTTAGAGGAAAACTTTATTTTTGAATTTTTTTTGTTGAACAACTCTTTTGGAAGGGACACAAATCCCCAAACCTTATTCTTTCTCAATTGAATTTTTAGTTAAAAGAATGTATTTTATTTTGTATTTTTATTCTCTCTTTCAATTTTATTTTTTATTTTTTATTTGGGCTTTGCTCACTTTTTGAGGTGTGAGAGGACATAAAATTATTATTTTTTATTTTTGTGAAGGAAAGTTATCTTGTTGGTGTGACCATCATGAATAGATTGTTTATCATGTTATCATTGTCTACCAAATAGAATATGCCCAACATCTATAGGAAATACGTCACACAAAATATTATCTTTGTAAGTTCCTATAGATATTAGTATATTTACTTGCTCTTTAATTACTATATCATCATCATCATTGAGTCATTGAAATTTGTTAGGTTTTGAATGGGTGTAGCAGTTAAGGCTAGTTTTATCACCAACCTTGAACTACAACAATTATAACAAAAATCACTATCCACAGTCAAAGAACAAGTGTCTTCCAAAACTTCACATTTTGTGTAGAATAGATTTTCTCGTTGTGATTGCTCTAATTCATTAGATTGGCTTCCGAAAAGCCTTCTCCTCACAAGTAATTATCCTTCTCAAGGGAGAACTTCTTCCTCTGAGGCTAGATTTCCCTCTTCACTAGGTGAAGAGTGAGCTTTATCCTCGCTTATGATCTCTTATTCTTTAAAAAAACATCTTTTTTCTATTAGGACAAAAACATAGTGTCCCCTACCAAGACATTAGAAGCATTGATTATCACTCATTCTGGTCCCTTTAGAAGGAATTCTATATAAAAAAAAAATTCTTCGTCTCTTTCTTTTTCTCTATATTTTTCTTTTTCTTTATCCCTTTCTTGTGACTTTTCATTGCTAAATTTGGAGGGGTGCCCCTCTGATGTGAACATGACCTATGATAAGGGCTAGAGCAAGGAAAGCAAATGAAGCTCTTCAACAAGTATTGTTGGTTGACCAAATTGTGTTTTGAATTAATCAATTAATGGGCTTTAGTTTGGTTTTATTGCAAGTTGTAATAAGGACCCAATTGGAAATTTAGTTATTAGTCTTTGGGAGACCAAGAAGGTGCATAGCTGATTGACTTTTGGATGCCACAATTTCAGTTACAATCAATCATTAAGTAGTTTTCAATTCCTAGGTTAATAAATCATTATTAGCATTTATTTTTTTTTAATGAATATTTGTAACTCTGATGGAAAAGTTATTTTATAAGCTGAACCATTTTTATCAGAAATAACAAGTTGAGTTTTATTTTTAGAAATATTAGAGTTTATCTCTTTTATCTTAGTGAGAGTGATTCTCCTAAATTCTTGAGTGATTCAAGAACCCTTGACTGTATCAAAGGACTGTCACATCCTTTGTGTGTTGCCTCCCTTGGGAAGAGTGATTCTTTCCTTCCACCTTCTTTCTAATTCCTAAATTTCTTACAAGGTTCTAACCCTAAAGATCATAAATCACCCCTTGTGATTCATATCAATTGGTATCAGAGCCCCGGTTTAAAGGTTTGAACATCAAATTGATGGCAGAGGAGGATAAAAAGAGAATGAGAGAAAATTTTCTTCAAGAAAAGAGAGAAAAAAAAGAAGAAGAGTGAAACACTTGAAGTGAAACAGAGCTATTTAGCCATAAAAAAATAACGAATCTGATTTGAGGACAAATTCTTTTCAAGAGGGAGAGAATGATGTGAACATGACCTATGATAAGGGCTAAAGCAAGGGAAGCAAATGAAGCTCTTCAACAAGTATTATTGGTTAACCAAATTGTGTTTTGAATTAATCAATTAATGGGCTTTAGTTTGATTTTATTGCAAGTTGTAATAAGGGCCCAATTGGAAATTTAGTTATTAGTCTTTGGGAGACCAAGAAGGTGCATAGCTGATTGAATTTTGGATGCCACAATTTCAGTTACAATCAATCATTAAGTATTTTTCAATTCCTAGGTTAATAAATCATTATTAGCATTTATTTTCCTTTAATGAATATTTGTAACTCTGATGGCAAAGCTTCTTTATAAGTTGAACAATTTTTATCAGAAATAACAAGTTGAGTTTTATTTTTGGAAATATTAGAGTTTATCTCTTTTATCTTAGTGAGAGTGATTCTCCTAAATTCTTGAGTGATTCAAGAACCATTGGCTGTATCAAAGGACTGTCACATCCTTTGTGTGTTGCCTCCCTTGGGAAGAGTGATTCTTTCCTTCCACCTTCTTTCTAATTCCTAAATTTCTTACAAGGTTCTAACCCTAAAGATCATAAATCACCCATTGTGATTCATATCACCCTCCCTCTTATATTCTTCCTTAGGATTAAAGGTGGTAGGGTAGTCTCTTCTATGAAAATATTTTCTTCTCAGTTGTTGTTCTACCCTCACACATAGTTGAACCAACTTATTCAAATCATTATAAGGAAAAAGTTCAAATTTATCCCTAATTTATAGATTAAGGCCACTTTGGAACCTAGCGATTGTAAGGCATGTCTCTTCCCTTATTTCAGCCCTCATCATTAGGAGTTCCATTTTTTGTCTATAACCCTCTACTGTTAGGTTTCTTTGTTGGAGTTTGTCCATTAACCCCTATCATAATATGAGGGTACATATTTTTTTTTCTAAGAGAACTCCTAAGTTCATTCCAATATTGTTCTTGAGGCTTATGATAAATTCTCCTACTGTTTACTACAAAAGTCTAACAATACAATGCGCCCTCTTGAAAACTAAGGGTTGCCATGGACACGCTTCTCACCTCATGGATTCTATGGTACTCAAATAATTATTCAACCTTTAGATATTCTTCCATATTATGTTTTCCATAGGAGGGAGGAGGGTCTATCTTAGGTTCTCTCGGGTTATTTTTTCCTCTAGGCTTATGATAATGCCTAGGTAGTTTATAGTAATCATTGTTATGATGAATACTATAAACATCCCTCTATCAAGAGTGAGGTCTTTCATGATGTTCAATTTTTCTATGTGATCCCTTACCATGTTTGCTCTTAGACTTATTTTCTCTTTGATTCACGAGTTCAATAAACATGTCCCTTATTTCATCTTCTCTTTTTTTTAAATTTTTCATTTAAATCTCTAAGTTCATCCATAAGAGAAGGTCTATCACTATGATCCCTATATTTACCCCGCATACTAGAATGACTTGAAAGATGATGGTCACTCATCTTTCATCAAGAAAATTTTTCACAAGATTTTTGAAAGGTTTTCACAAAGATAAAGTGACCAAGTTTTTTGTAAAGTCTTTTTAAAGCGTGTGTGTGATAGATCCCTAGAACGAAAGGAAAATCTTCCAAACATTTATTAATTCACCTAAATTTTTGTCAAAGAAAAATTTTATTAACAAAAAGTATTATCAATGAAAAAAAAATTAGATGACAAATCCTAGGGTGAAAGTCCAAGTGATACTTAGGAGCCTATTGAGACATTTTCACAACACCATGTGCTTATTATTACAATGTTTACTATGGGAGATGAAATTGTACCAAAGACATTTTTCCAAAACACCAAAACAAATGAAAAAATTACAACAAGAAAATTGTGACAAAAGTTACAACAACATTTAACAACAAATTTATTTGGAGCAACTCTTTGTTTGTGACGAATTAGTGGACATTTTTGTCACTATATTCTCTCTTTTTTAGAGTTTCTCTCCTCTCATTTGTTTGCACTCCTTTGTTAATGATCCTCTTCTTGTTCTCCAAATCCTCTTTAAGAAATATCTTCACCCTCTCCAAACATTACCTAAGATGCTAACTTGAAAAGGAAGTAACTCTCAAAAGAAACAAGGAGAATATTTTTGCCTTTAAAGTACTTAAGATGCAATGGAGTAAAAATATAAGAAATTTTAAATTAAGAAATGCAACAATCAAGTGATTAAAGTAAATTTTAGACAAAATTAAAGAATTTTAACAAAAGGCAATCAAGAAAATTAAGACAAATTTGACAAGTAAGAACATAACACAAACCTAAAGAATAATTCTAGATTTAGATAACAAAAACTAAAAGACACAAGTTGAATATTTTTTAATCAAAGTGTTTTTTTTTCATGCCTTGGACGAATATCATGCATGCCAAACACAATCTTTTATGCACCTCTTTTATCATACAATTTTAAATTCAAATACTAAAATAAAAAAGTGTGGGACTTAGGATGAGTTACAACAAATTTCTTTTACTTTTTTTCCTTCCTTAATCTCAGCTTTTATAATTCAAGCTTGTTTGCACTTTTTTTTTTCTTTTCTTCTTTTTAACTTGAGAGACTATGTCCTTTCCAACGAAAAATTACAAATCAACTCAATTATTACTAAGTATACCTAAGTTTGAAAATCCACGTATAATATGGCATACGTTCAAATCAAATAAATTCAACTCAAAGATTAGAAAAATACAAAATATACAACATGACTTGCACAATTTGAAAGTAGGAAAATGTTTTTAGAGCTTTGCTAAAGATTTAATAGCAAAAATGAACTCAAGCTAAGATGCATAAGCCAATATACAACTCGGTTTCTATTTATGCTTAACATATAACAATACTTTTTTCTTTTCTTTTCACAAATATGGGACAACTTCTAGATAATTATGAACATGTAAGAACTAAACATGACTTCTAAACAATATGGAGATTATAAATTGAAACTTAATTAAGAAAATTGACAATTCAATGAAAAGAAAGCATACATGGACATACAATTGTAAAGACTCGGACTTAGCATACGACTTAAAGACTCAAACAATGACCGAAAATCAAAGACA